TACTGAGTAGGGAGGTACTCTGGATCCCATGGGATGCTAGGCTGCAACCTATGACCCTTCCCTCGAATATAATTCCATGTCAAAAATAATGGAAAAGGCACTTTGGGAAATGACCATGGACTATGAGTTAGATGACAGTGTTGTACCAAAACCATATTCTTTTGGTGATAACGGGATTGTGGTTACTTGAGGAACATCCCTGTTGACTTGATAATAGTGTCATGAAGTCCACTGCATAGTTTCCAATGGTTCAACAGTGGTGTGTCTGTGCGCGCATGCGTGCGTGTGTGTATGTGTGTGTGTGTGTGTGTGTGTGTGTGTGTGTGTTTGTTGGGGTGTGGAGGTGGAGATACAGAGGGTGAAAATGAAACTGACAAATATTAATATTTTTCAAATCGTGGTGAACAGCATTCATGTGCTCACAACACTTTTCCTGACCTTTAATATTGTGGATTTGACATTTTTCAATATTAAACTCCAGGAGAATTCAATTCATAGCTCAAGGCAGATATTGCTTTGGGAGTATGAAATCTGCAATGAGTCACTTCTTTGATGCCTAAATTTAAGTGATTCCTGTTTCAAAGACTGAATAGAGGAAATACAGTGAATAGTTGGGGTCTAACGTTTTCACTGTAAGAAAAGAGACCCAGCAGTGGAATGGGGTTCAGTGTAGAAGAAGCTGTGTTTTCCAAGTTCCAGTGGAGTGATTCACAATTTGAAGACTTGAAAGATGTTATTATTATTATTATTTTTAACATTTGACAGGAATAGCACTATTTTTGATTTGTGAATGTTTCTTCTCTTGATCTAAATGAATTATCGTCCTCAGGGATTCTGTTTCTTTTTCTCTACTGACACCACAGTATATCTTCCATCCCCAGGATGTGATAAAAATCCAACCAGATAAAGTTTTCAAAAAACCAAGTCTGGGCAAGACGCATTCTGCGTTTCTACTCAAGCTCATGATCCTGATCTCCTGTATGACTATTTCCACGGAAGGACTGGAACACAGATGTGATTCCTGGGATGAGATGGCTCTGCTATCTTCCCTCTGAATTGAATATACAATTATGTAAATGAGTTAGCATTCTCAATAACATTAGAATTATAGGTAACTAGAGGCCCAGTGCATGAAATTCATGCATGATGTGTGTGTGTGTGTGTGTGTGTGTGTGTGTGTGTGTGTCCCTCAGCCCAACCTGCACCCTTTCCAATCTGGGATTCCCTTTCACAATCCAGGACTGCTAGCTCCTAACTGCTCACCTGCCTGCCTGCCTAATTCCCCTTAAATACTTCTGTCCTGCCAGCCTGATCACCCCCTAATCACTCCCATGCCAGCCTGATTGACACCTAACTGCTACCCTGCCAGCCCAATTGCCCCTAACTGCCCTCCCCTGCAGGCCTGATGGCCTTCCTTGCTGGCCTGGTCACCCCTAACTGCCCTCTCCTGCCAGCCTGGTCATCCCTAACTGTCCTCCCTTGCAGGCCATCTTGTGGTGGTCATCTTTGACCACATGGGGAGGTCATCTTGTGTTTTAGAGTGATGGTCAATTTGTATATTACCTCTTTATTATATAGGATTCTCCTATAGGCTTACCATCAGATATCCATATCTATCAATCTATCAGGTTTCCTCCCTTATCAAGTCATCAAATCTTCATTCTTTGTAACCTCACAGCCCCAACATAATTCGTGACTTTATTCCAATTACCGTCTTAACTCCTCCCTCTGGGCAGCACTGGAAAAATGAGAATAGTTTCAAATCAGAGATAAAAAATGTACTTTTGCTTCTTTAAGAGAATTAATGTGGGGAATTGGTGTCCTTAAACATTCCAGCATAATCTATCAGTAGATTTCTGTCATTCTCATATTCGGAGTCAAAATGTTTTTTATGTATCTGCTCAGAGCGTTAGGCAGACACAGAGAGTACACAATACTGAAGGTCATAAGAATGAAGGCACAATTTTAAACTATTTCCCAATTCACATGTCTGGATAGTACATATAATGAGTAAAAAAATTCCTCTTAATAAGACAGAATGTCTTAATACTAAGAATCTGATGACATACACTCGCCTACTTATTCTTGGGTGTTTCTGAATGTTCTCTCCATGTGTGTTTGAAAGGCTCACTTTGGTGAAATAGACACACCATTGTGCTGTTTTAGTCACCATTTCCCAGGCTGAGATGTTAGGAATAGTGGATATCTCAGCATATCAATTTCAAATTCCCCTACAGAAATTACAAGTAGCCTCAATCATCACCGTTCAGAGTCAGTAAAGTAGTAATAACATAGGATGAGGTTCCAGGAGGAATTTAATTAATTTAAATAACGCGATCATCAGTCTTCCTCCAGGCCAAGCTCTTAGGACATCATCAGAAATTGCTCTGACTAACAGCGTAGGGCAATTTATAAAGGAAACTGTAATTAATGTGGATTTTTTCTTGGTATTTGATCAAAGCAGCTATAAAAGACGTGATTGCTTGTGTGGAATGCAGTGCCCCTAATCATAACATTTACTAGGAGACTCCTCCGTGGACTTACTTCCTTGACTTAACTGGATTCTTCCCAAGAGCGGAGTTGCTCTTTCTCATCGCAGCCGTGAGAGCATTGCACCCACTGATGGGCCCCATACCCCCTAATTTCTCGGCATTCTTGGCAAGTCCAGAGGAGAGGCGGCGAGAACAGGGAGGGGGCCGCCGCCAACCCCCTCACGGGGCGGGCACCAGGGCCTGGACCAGGGGGGGGGCACACAGTGCCCAGAGCAGGCCGAGGGAGTCAGGGGCTCGACATGGCTGCCTCCCCTGGGGTGACTGCCCAGCCCGAGGCCCACAGGCGCAGAAGGAGGGGACAGGCACAGGCTGCCAAGTGTATGCTTCCATGCTACAAGAAGTATTTGAAATTCTCCTCCCGACCTTTTTTATTGTGAAATGATGTTAGTTACCAAATATCTGGACATGTTGTAGAACTTAGCGCATCCTCTTCACCCAGTTACACCCATGATCATCTCTCCTATAACCAACTACAAGGATCAAAACTAAGGAATCAGCTTCTTAAGGATCATCAGGCGCTATTGGGATTTCACATTTCTGTCACTGGTGGCCTTTATTTTATTTTTTCTCTAGGATCTAATCCAAGGTCCCATGGCATTGGGTTGTCCAATTTTTTTGTCTTCCTCAGTAGGGGATGGATTTTCAAGTGCGTCTCCAGCTTCCACAGCCATGTCAGACACCACAAGTTTTGCAGATCGTTCTTCCTTTGGGTTTTCCTGAGTTCTCAGAGCCAGGTTGAGGGTCCACAATCTGCAAGGATGGCAGAGAGATGTGGCTGCTTCGGTTGGTCATGGCAGGATGTCCTCGACCTCAGGGAGGCTTTGGCAGTTTTCGGAGGAGACTCTTAAGCTGGAAGTGCTAATAGAATAAATCCTTCTATTTCTGTGTAATCGTGGGCCCCGGGTTTAAACGTCAGAGGCTCTGTCATGGCCTTTGATGGTTACAACATGATGGTCACGCACGTGTGAAGTACGGACCGAAGTGGGTCCCTTTGCTGCTCAGAAAAACAGTGCACACTGGACATACAAGCCTTTGGGCCTGGGCCCGCCTCGCCTTCACTGCGTCTTCCATCATGTCTTTTCCACCTCTCGGGCCTCACGCTCCTCCCGGGAGCACCCTGTCCCCACGGCTGCGGACACGCAGGGAGGACGGAGGATGTTATTAAAGGAACAAAAGATGTTTCAGAGATGGAACCAGCGTGGGTTACAGGCCCTCTTGGCAGCTAGTGACAGAGTTTAGATGTCACATTGGAATAAACATGCTCCTCTAGATATTTGTCTGTAGTCTTCATTTGTGTCATGTCTTTACCTGGTGTTGGTATTAAGTTAATGTGACCTTGTTGAATGAGTTGGTAATTTTTCCCTCAGATTTTATTTCTAGAAGTGATTGTAGAGAATTGGTGTAATCATTCTTTAAAACATTTGTAGAATTTTTCTGTAAGACTTTCTGTTGTGAAGGGTCGTTATTGCTTCAATGCATTTAGAAGTTACAAGCCTATTAAGAGTGTTTCTTCAGTGAGTTCTATAGGCCACGAGATATTTCATAGTAACCCACTGTTTATGACATTGATCATTATGAACACTTTTTATAATTCTGTTAATTTATTCTTTTTATTTAGTTATTTTGATGTGTCCTCTATTCTTACACCGCGCTTTGCCTCCCCCTCCAGAATATGCCCTCCCTGAGGACAAAGCTCACCAGTGAATTTTGAATGAGAACCCACCACAGAAAGCACAGGAGACCCACACACCATGTTCATGGACACAAAGGCTCAATAGTGTGAAGAACTCATCCCCCACAACTGATGAATGGATTCGGTTCCATCCCAATAAAACTCTGAGTGTGTATCTTTGTCGATGTTGACCAGCTGATTCTGAAGTTTAGATGGACAACAAAGAAATGAGAAGAGCCATGATCAATGTGAACAGGAGCAAGGTGGGAACACGCACATGACCCCACACCAAGACCTCCTGCGACCCACAGTGAACAGACCGTGTGTGCAGGTGAGAGAACGACACATGCCCTCGAAGATGCAATAAAGGAACCCAGGGTCTGGCTGACACAGTGAAGACCATGGGGATAGTGAAGGCCATGGGGAGAGGGAAGATTCTGACACAAACATAGTTATTTTCAGGAACGCATTCCCTTTGTTTATTGAACAAGTGCAATTTCTCCCAACTCTCGCATATTTGTGTTCTTGGACAACACAACTTCATAGGAGAGAAAAGCCGAGCCTGGCTATTTTGAGCACAATCAGAATCAAATCTTCCATCCTCAGGTCACACAATGGGCGCATTCACACTTCCTCAATAACAAACAGGAATCGGATGTAAAAGCAGGAGGCGTCCAGTCCTCAATGGACTGTAGAGTTGATGAATGGGCATCCCTCGGAGGAAAGCATTAATTTTCCATATTTTGTTAGAGGTGCAGGGTGTTGTAGGGGATGTTCTAGCAGCAAGAGTAGCATCGTCGGTAGCAGCAGCCAGAGCCGTAACCACAGCCATAGCCAGAGCCAGAGCCATAGCCATATCCATAGCCACAGCCATAGCCACAGCTGTATCTAGATCCATATCCACAGCCATAGCCACAGCCAGAGCCATAGCCAGAGCCGTATCCACAGCCATATCTGGATCCATATCCACAGCCATAGCCAGAGCCATATCCACAGCCGTAGCCACAGCCAGAGCCGTAGCCAGAGCCGTAGCCACAGCCATATCTGGATCCATATCCACAGCCATAGCCAGAGCCATAGCCAGAGCCATAGCCACAGCCCCCGTAGGAGCTGCCGTAGCAGTTGCAGCACATGCTGGCAGAGGGTGAGGGTTCAATGGAGGCGAAGAGGGATGTTGCTGGATGTGAGTGTGGTCTCCCACCCGGGGAGCTTTATATTCGCCAGGAAAGGCCCGGAATGTCGTCACGTGTGTGACTCACCAGGAAATGCTCACTGATCCCGGCTTGTGCAGGTCACTCCTGTCAGTGATCATGAGAGGACTCGGTGATAAGTGGCCCATTAGTGCAGAGTCTCTCACTTTTACTGGGACCTGTGTTTGTTCTGTGTCACCTGGGCCTTGTCTTGCGCCGATGACATGTCAATGAGAACATGCCCATCGATGATCTACTCACCTGAACCCATCCAGGAGGTTTCAAAGCTCCGTCCAGGAGGCCAGGTTCTGGGATGGAGGGCGTGTCTGTCTGGAATGAGCCCATTAAGAGAGCTCCACTCACCGCTTGAGCAGCGAAGGAATTGCTACTGAGTTCATAGTTTCATGGTTGGCAAAGTGCGACTCGAGAGCTACATGCAGCTCTTTGGCCCCTTGAGTGTGGCTCTTCCCCAAAACACCACGGCCTGAGCGAATCTATGTTGAAGAAGTGGTGCTAGAAGAAGTTTATGTTTAAAAAAATGTGGTTCTCCATAGAAATTTCAATCACTGTGTTTCGATATTTGGCTCCGTGGACTGATGAGTTTGCCGACCGCTGGTGTAGTGGATCTCATGGGTGTTCAGAGCTGGGCGGCACTGACCCTGAGCATTTCCTGGCGGAGGCTCCTGTCATCCAGCCTCATGGAGATGCTGGGTCATGGCCTGTGTCACCCAGGGGGCCGCTCCCAGGACATCTGTGTCCTCTATGGGGGGCCCTTCTGTCCTACCAGAGCACCCCCACCCCCTGAGCGTCCTCACAATGACCTTGCTGGGCGTGTTGTCGAGTGCAGGTCCCCTCTGCCATCTGTTGGTGCCCATGAAACTGGGACAGAGTCAGGGAGCCCATCACATGGACACTGAGGTACAGAAAGGTCAGGGACTGACTAGCACCCACAGCTCATGCGGCACCAAGATCAACCTCCGCTCCTCTTTGTCATGCGACATACATCCCCCTTTCTAATCATTAAAGACGTGAGCACGCTGGCTCTCTGTGCTCAGCAGGTGGTTGAACCCGCCTCTCGGTGGGCTCCCAGGAAGACAGCACCCACGGCTCTTCTCTCGCTGGGTTCTTCTGGCTTCTCTCTTAGGTCCGGACTCTTTCCTTCTCTCCATCTGCCCCTGTCTGTCAGCACCATCACCATCCCTGTCTCAGAGGCCTGGAACCGCGACTCCTGTGCTGAATCCGTTCTACCCCTGTACCAGTGCACTGAACGGTCACTCGGATGAGCAGTTCCATCACCGTCCTCACGTCCCTCCTTCTCCACCATATCAGCCCCTGCCAGTACCCACACCCCCTCTTCCGTGGCTTTCCGAGCTTGTTCAGTCTCTAGTTTAATGGATCCATCATCATTTGCCCAGAATGTAGACCCTCAAATTGGCTCTGAGAACACAGGCGAACCCAAACAAAGGAACGTACTGCAAAACATGTGGTGTCTGACAGGTTATGGAAGCTGAGGACGCACTTGGTCCAAAGAAGGACCAATGAGTGCCGCTGCCTCCTGTGTCCTCTCCACCAAAGTCCTGCCTCCGGCTCATCGCAAAGACTCGTGGGCATCTCCGCGGTATTTCTCCTCGAGGTCTCGCCTTCCGGGCCTTCTGGTCCCACACTCCACTGGCATTCCAGGCAGTACCTGCCCTGCCAGGGCCAGAGGCTCCAAGTGGCCTGCAGATCCTCCAGCTTCTCTCCTCCTTCCCAGAGGCCCTCCGATCCCCACATTTGCTTTCATTCCAGCATCACTAGTGGCTTCTCGGCCGTTGCCTTTTTCTTTTCTCCTCCTCGGATTTGGCTCCCAGTTGAGAGGGTGCCCGGCCAGCTGCTGGCCCCTCTGACGGTTCCTACTCACACCTCTTTAGATGGACTATCTGGGCTGTGGGGCTGTGGTCAGTTCATCTTCGTTAGCATCTAAGCTTGTCCTCCAGGGTCTGCCTGCATCCAGAATGGAAGTGCCAGAACCAAAAGAAGTGCCAGAACCTGTCGGCATCACCACCCCCATCCCTTGCTACACCCTGATGCTCAGGACAATGTCTGACAGACAACTGAGTCTTAGACCTTTCATGTACAAGAGAACTAACAAATGACCCAATCAATGCAATCAAGTAGCATTGTTATTTTCATTTATTTTTTGAAAAATTAAATTGATTGGCCAAAACCAGTTTAGCTCAGTGGATAGAGCGTCAGCCTGCAGACAGAAGGGTCCTGGGTTTGATTTTGGTCAAGGGCATATACCTTGGTTGCAGGCACATCCCCGGTGGGGAGTGTGCAGGAGGCGGCTGATCAATTACTCTCTCTCATAGATGTTTCTAACTCTCTATCCCTCTCCCTTCCTTTCTGTAAAAAATTAATAAAATACTTAAAAAAAATTAAATGGATTGGAGTGGCATTGGTTCATAGGACCAGGGAGCTGCCAAGTGTATGCTTCCATGCTACAAACAGCATCTTAAATTCTCCTTCCGACCTTTTTTTTTAATTGGGAAATGATGTTAGTTACCAAATGTCTGGACATGTTGTAGAACTTAGCACATCCTCTTCACCCAGTTACACCCATGATCATCTCTCCTATAACCAACCACAACAATCAGAACTAAGGAATCAGCTTCTTAAGGATCCTCACGCTCTACTGGGATTTCACATTTCTGTCACTGGTGGCCTTTATTTTATTTTTTCTCTAAGGTCTAATAAAGGTCCCATGGCATTGGGTTGTCCAACTTTTTTGTCTTCCTCAGTAGGGGATGGATTTTCAAGTGCGTCTCCAGCTTCCACAGCCATGTCAGACACCACCTGTTTTGCAGATCGTTCCTCCTTTGGGTTTTCCTGAGTTCTCAGAGCCAGGTTGAGGGTCCACAATCTGCAAGGATGGCGGAGAGATGTGGCTGCTTCGGTTGGTCATGGCAGGAGGTGCTCGACCTCAGGGAGGCTTTGGCAGTTTTAGGGGGAGACTCTTAAGCCGGAAGTGCTAATAGAATAAATCCTTCTATTTCTGTGTAATCGTGGGCCCCGGGTTTAAACGTCAGAGGCTCTGTCATGGTCTTTGATGGATACAACATGATGGTCACGCACGTGTGAAGTATGGACCGAAGTGGGTCCCTTTGCTGCTCAGAAAAACAGTGCACACTGGACATACAAGCCTTTTGGGCTGGGCCCGCCTCGTCTTCACTGCATCTTCCATCATGTCTTCTCCACCTCTCCGGCCTCACGCTCCTCCCGGGAGCACCCTGTCCCCACGGCTGCGGACACGCAGGGAGGACGGAGGATGTTATTAAAGGAACAAACGATGTTTCAGAGATGGAACCAGCGTGGGTTACAGGCCCTCTTGGCAGCTAGTGACAGAGTTTAGATGTCACATTGGAATAAACATGTTCCTCTAGATATTTGTCTGTAGTCTTCATTTGTGTTATGTCTTTACCTGGTGTTGGCATTAAGGTAATGTGACCTCGCTGAGTGAGTTGGTAATTTTTCCCTCAGATTTTATTTCTAGAAGTGATTGTAGAGAATTGGTAATCATTCTTTAAAATGTTTGTAGAATTTTTCTGTAAGACTTTTTGTTTTGAAGGGTTATCTTTGCTTCAATGCATTTAGAAGTTACAAGCCTATTAAGAGTGTTTCTTCAGTGAGTTCTACAGGCCACACGATATTTCATCGCAACCCACTGTTCATGACATTGATCATTATGAACACTTTTTATAATTCTGTTAATTTATTCTTTTTATTTAGTTATTTCAGTGTGTCCTTGATTCTTCTACCGCGCTTTGCCTCCCCCTCCAGAATATGCCCTCCGTGAGGACAAAGCTCACCGGTGAATTCTGAATGAGAACCCACCCAGAAAGCACAGGAGACCCACACACCATGTTCATGGACACAAAGGCTCAATAGTGTGAAGAACTCATCCCCCACAACTGATGAATGGATTCGGTTCCATCCCAATAAAACTCTGAGTGTGTATCTTTGTCGATGTTGACCAGCTGATTCTGAAGTTTAGATGGACAACAAAGAAATGAGAAGAGCCACAATCAATGTGAAGAGGAGCAAGGTGGGAACACGCATTTGACCCCACACCAAGACCTCCTGCGACCCACAGTGAACAGACCGTGTGTGCTGGTGAGAGAACGACACATGCCCTCGAAGATGCAATAAAGGAACCCAAGGTCTGGCTGACACAGTGAAGACCATGGGGATAGTGAAGGCCATGGGGAGAGGGAAGATTCTGACACAAACACAGTTACTTTCAGGAACGCATCCCATTTGTTTATTGAACAAGTGCAATTTCTCCCAATTCTGGCATATTTGTGTTCCTGGACAACATAACTTCATAGGAGAAGAAAGCTGAGCCTGGCCATTTTGAGCACAATCAGAGTCAAATCTTCCATCCTCAGGTCACACAATGGGCCCATTCACACTTCCTCAATAACAAAAAGGAATCGGATGTAAAAGCAGGAGGCATCCAGTCCTTACTGGAGTGTAGAGATGAGGAACGGGCATCCCTCAGAGGAAAGCGTTAATTATCCATATTTTGTTAGAGGCGCAGGGTGTTGTAGGGTATGTTCTAGCAGCAAGAGTAGCATCGTCGGTAGCAGCAGCCAGAGCCGTAGCCAGAGCCATAGCCACAGCCATAGCCGCAGCCATATCCACAACCGTATCTGGATCCATATCCACAGCCGTAGCCAGAACCATAACCACAGCCATATCTGGATCCATATCTACACCCACAGCCATAGCCAGAGCCATAGCCAGAGCCATATCCACAGCCATATCCACAACCGTATCTCAATTTATATCCACAGCCGTAGCCAGAACCATAACCACAGCCATATCTGGATCCATATCCACAATCGTAGCCAGAGCCATATCCACAGCCATAGCCACAGCCGTAGCCAGAGCCGTAGCCACAGCCCCCGTAGGAGCTGCCGTAGCAGTTGCAGCACATGCTGGTAGAGGGTGAGGGTTCGGTGGAGGCGAAGAGGGACGTTGCTGGATGTGAGTGTGGCCTCCCACCCGGGGAGCTTTATATTCACTAGGAAAGGCCCGGAATGCCGTCACGTGTGTGACTCACCAGGAAATGCTCACTGATCCTGGCTTGTGCAGGTCACTCCTGTCAGTGATCATGAGAGGACTCAGTGATAAGTGGCCCATTAGTGCAGAGTCTCTCACTTTTACTGGGACCCGTGTTTGTTTTGTGTCACCTGGGCCTTGTCTTGCGCCAATGACACGTCAATGAGAACATGCCCATCGATGATCTACTCACCTGAACCCATCCAGAAGGTTTCAAAGCTTCGTCCAGGAGGCCAGGTTCTGGGATGGAGGGCATGTCTGTCTGGAATGAGCCCATTAAGTGAGCTCCACTCACCGCTTGAGCAGCGAAGGAATTGCTACTGAGTTCATAGTCCCATGGTCGGAAAAGTGCGACCAAAGAGCCACATGCGACTCTTAGGCCCTTGAGTGTGGCTCTTCCACAAAACAGCATGGCCTAGGCGAGTCTATGTTGAAGAAGTGGTGCTAGAAGAAGTTTACTTTTAAAAAATGTGGCTCTCTATAAAAATTTCAATCGTTGTGCTGTTGATATTTGGCTCCGTGGATGGATGAGTTTGCCGACCACTGGTGTAGTCGATCTCCTAGGTCTGCAGAGCTGGGTGGCACTGACCCTGAGCATATCCTGGCTGAGGCTCCTCTCATTCAGCCTCATGGAGATGCTGGGTCATGGCCTGTGTCACCCAGGGGCCCAGTCCCAGGACATCTGTGTCTGCTCTGGGGGGCCCTTCAGTCCTACCCAAAGTGCACCTTGCCCCAGAGCGTCCTCACAATTACCCTGTTGGGCGTGTTGTCGAGTGCAGGTCCCCTCTGCCATCTGTTGGTGCCCATGAAACTGGGACAGAGTCAGTGAGCCCATCACATGGACACTGAGGTACAGAAAGGTCAGGAACTGACTAACACCCACAGCTCATGCGGCACCAAGATCAACCTCCGCTCCTCTTTGTCATGCGACATACATCCCCCTTTCTAATCATTAAAGACATGAGCACGCTGGCTCTCTGCATTCAGCAGGTGGTTGAACCCGCCTCTTGTTGGGCTCCCAGGAAGACAGCATCCACGGCTCTTCTCTCACTGGGTCCTTCTGGCTTCTCTCTTAGGTCCCAGACTCTTTCCTTCTTTCCATTTGCCCCTGTCTGTCAGCACTGTCACCATCCCTGTGTCAGAGGCCTGGGAACCGCGGCTCCCACGCTGAATCTATTCTACCTCTGTACCAGTGCACTGAACAGTAACTCGTCCCTCCTCCTTCCACCACCTCCGCTCAGATCAGCCCCAACAGCCCCTGCCAGTACCCACACCCCCTCCTCCATGGCTTTCCGAGTTTGTTCAGTCTCTAGTTTAATGGATCCATCATCATTTGCCCAGAATGTAGACCCTCAAATTGGCTCTGAAAACACAGGCAAACCCAAACAAAGGAACGTACTGCAAAGCATGTGGTGTCTGACATGGTTATGGAAGCTGAGGACGCACTTGGTCCAAAGAAGGACCAATGAGTGCCGCTGCCTCCTGTGTCCTCTCCACCAAAGTCCTGCCTCCGGCTCATCGCAAAGACTCGTGGGCATCTCCGCGGTGATTTCTCCTCGAGGTCTCGCCTTCCTGGCCTTCTGGTTCCACACTCCACTGGCATTCCAGGCAGTACCTGCCCTGCCAGGGCCAGAGGCTCCAAGTGGCCTGCAGATCCTCCAGCTTCTCTCATCCTTCCCGAAGGCCCTCCAACCCCCACATTCACTTTCATTCCAGCATCACTAATAGCTTCTCGGCCGTTGCCTTTTTCTTTTCTCCTCCTCGGATTTGGCTCCCAGTTGAGAGGGTGCCCGGCCAGCTGCTAGCCCTTATGACGGTTCCTGCTCACACCTCTTTAGATGGACTATCTGGGCTGTGGGGCTGTGGTCAGTTCATCTTCGTTAGCATCTAAGCTTGTCCTCCAGGGTCTGCCTGCATGTCCTGCCCTTGCTCCATCCAGAATGGAAGTGCCAGAACCATGGAAGTGCCAGAACCAATGGAAGTGCCAGAACCTGTCGGCAACACCACCCCCATCCCTTGCTACACCCTGATGCTCAGGACAATGTCTGACAGACAACTGAGTCTTAGACCTTTCATGTACAAGAGAACTAACAAATGACCCAATCAATGCAATCAAGTAGCATTGTTATTTTCATAAAAATTAAATTGATTGGCCAAAACCAGTTTGGTTCAGTGGATAGAGTGTCAGCCTGAGAACTGAAGGGTCCCGGGTTCGATTCCAGTCAAGGGCATGAACCATGGTTGCGGGCACATCCCCGGTGAGGGATGTGCAGGAGGCAGCTGATCTATGATTCTCTCTCATCGAAGTTTCTACCTCTCTATCCCTCTTCCTTCCTCGCTATAAAAAAATCAATAAAATAATTAAAACAATTAAATTCATTGGAGTGGCATTGGTTCATAGGATCAGGGACCTGCCAAGTGTCTGCTTCCACACTACAAGCAGCATCTTAAATTCTCCTCCCAACCTTTTTTATTGTGAAAAGATGTTAGTTACCAAATGTCTGGACATGTTGTAGAACTTAGCACATCCTCTTCACCCAGTTACACCCATGATCATCTCTCCCATAATCAACCACAACAATCAGAACTAAGGAATCAGCTTCTTAAGGATCCTCACGCGCTACTGGGATTTCACATTTCTTCACTGGTGGCCTTTATTTTATTTTTTCTCTAAGGTCTAATAAAGGTCCCATGGCATTGGGTTGTCCAATTTTTTTGTCTTCCTCAGTAGGGGGTGGATTTTCAAGTACGTCTCCAGGTCCCACAGCCATGTCAGACATCACATGTTTTGCAGAACGTTCCTCCTTTGGGTTTTCCTGAGTTCTCAGAGCCAAGTTGAGGGTCTACAATCTGCAAGGATGGTGGAGAGATGTGGCTGCTTCTGTTGGTCATGGCAGGATGTCCTCGAACTCAGGGAGGCTTTGGCAGTTTTCAAAGGAGACTCTTAAGCTGGAAGTGCTAATAGAATAAATCCTTCTATTTCTGTGTAATCGTGGGCCCCGGGTTTAAACGTCAGAGGCTCTGTCATGGTCTTTGATGGTTACAACATGATGGTCACACACGTGTGAAGTTCGGACCAAAGTGGGTCCCTTTGCTGCTCAGAAAAACAGTGCACGCTGGTCTTTTAAGCCTTCGGGGCTGAGCCCGCCTCGTCTTCACTGCATCTTCCATCGTGTCTTCTCCACCTCTCCGGCCTCACGCTCCTCCCGGGAGCACCCTGTCCCCACGGCTGCGGACACGCAGGGAGGACGGAGGATGTTATTAAAGGAACAAAAGATGTTTCAGAGATGGAACCAGCGTGGGTTACAGGCCCTCTTGGCAGCTAGTGACAGAGTTTAGATGTCACATTGGAATAAACATGTTCCTCTAGATATTTGTCTGTAGTTTCATTTGTGTCATGTCTTTACCTGGTGTTGGCATTAAGTTAATGTGACCTTGTTGAATGAGTTGGTAATTTTTCCCTCAGATTTTATTTCTAGAAGTGATTGTAGAGAATTGGTGTAATCATTCTTTAAAACATTTGTAGAATTTTTCTGTAAGACTTTCTGTTGTGAAGGGTCGTTATTGCTTCAATGCATTTAGAAGTTACAAGCCTATTAAGAGTGTTTCTTCAGTGAGTTCTATAGGCCACGCGATATTTCATCGCAACCCACTGTGTATATGCCATTGATCATTATGAACATCTTTTATAATAATTCTGTTAATTTATTCTTTTTATTTAGTTATTTTGATGTGTCCTCTATTCTTACACCGCGCTTTGCCTCCCCCTCCAGAATATGCCCTCCGTGAGGACAAAGCTCACCGGTGAATTTTGAATGAGAACCCACCCAGAAAGCACAGGAGACCCACACACCATGTTCATGGACACAAAGGCTCAATAGTGTGAAGAACTCATCCCCCACAACTGATGAATGGATTTGGTTCCATCCCAATAAAACTCTGAGTGTGTATCTTTGTCGATGTTGACCAGCTGATTCTGAAGTTTAGATGGACAACAAAGAAATGAGAAGAGCCATGATCAATGTGAACAGGAGCAAGGTGGGAACACACACATGACCCCACACCAAGACCTCCTGCGACCCACAGTGAACAGACCGTGTGTGCTGGTGAGAGAACGACACATGCCCTCGATGACGCAATAAAGGAACCCAAGGTCTGGCTGACACAGTGAAGACCATGAGGATAGTGAAGGCCATGGGGAGAGGGAAGATTCTGACACAAACACAGTTACTTTCAGGAATGCATCCCATTTGTTTATTGAACAAGTGCAATTTCTCCCAATTCTGGCATATTTGTGTTCCTGGACAACACCACTTCATAGGAGAGAAAAGCTGAGCCTGGCCAGTTTGAGCACAATCAGAATCCAATCTTCCATCCCCAGGTCACACAATGGGCGCATTCATACTTCCTCAATAACAAACAGGATTTGGATGTAAAAGCAGGAGGCGTCTAGTCCTCACTGGAGTGTAAAGATGATGAACGGGCATCCCTTGAAGGAAAAGCGTCAATTTTCCATGTTTTGGAAAATTGGTGTAGCAAGGGATGGGGGTGGTGTTGCCGCAGGGTGGTATAGCAGATGTTTTAGCAGCAAGAGTAGCATCGTCGGAAGCAGCAGCCAGAGCCATAGCCAGATCCATAGCCACAGCCATAGCCAGAGCCATAGCCAGAGCCATAGCCAGAGCCGTAGCCACAGCCATATCTGGATCCATATCCACAGCCATAGCCAGAGCCATATCCACAGCCATATCCACAGCCGTATCTGGATCCATATCCACAGCCATAGCCAGAGCCATATCCACAGCCATATCCACAGCCGTAGCCAGAGCCATAGCCACAGCCAGAGCCGTAGCCAGAGCCGTAGCCAGAGCCATAGCCACAGCCCCCGTAGGAGCTGCCGTAGCAGTTGCAGCACATGCTGGCAGAGGTGAGGGTTCGGTGGAGGCGAAGAGGGACGTTGCTGGATGTGAGTGTCTTCTCCCCCCCTGGGAGCTTTATATGCGCCAGGAAAGGCCCAGAATGCCGTCACGTGTGTGACTCACCAGGAAATGCTCACTGATCCTGGCTTGTGCAGGTCACTCCTGTCAGTGATCATGAGAGGACTCGGTGATAAGTGGCCCATTAGTGCAGAGTCTCTCACTTTTACTGGGACCCGTGTTTGTTTTGTGTCGCCTGGGCCTTGTCTTGCGCCGATGACACCTCAATGAGAATGTGCCCATCGATGATCTACTCACCGGAACCCATCCAGGAGGTTTCAAAGCTCCGTCCAGGAGGCCAGGTTCTGGGATGGAGGGCGTGTCTGTCTGGAACGAGCCCATTAAGTGAGCTCCACTCACTGCTTCATCAGCGAAGGAATTGCTACTGAGTTCATAGTTCCATTGTCGGCAAAGTGCGACTCGAGAGCCACATGCGGCTCTTTGGCCCCTTGAGTGTGGCTCTTCCACAAACAGCACGGCCTGGGTGAGTCTATGTTGAAGAAGTGGCGTTAGAAGAAGTTTATGTTTAAAAAATGTGGCTCTCCACTCTCCATAGAACTGTCAATCGTTGTGCTGTTGATATTTGGCTCCGTGGACTGATGAGTTTGCCAACCGCTGGTGTAGTGGATCTCGTGGGTCTGCAGAGCTGGGCGGCACTGACCCTGAGCATTTCCTGGCGGAGGCTCCTGTCATCCAGCCTCATGGAGATGCTGGGTCATGGCCTGTGTCACCCAGGGGGCCGCTCCCAGGACATCTGTGTCCTCTCTGGGGGGCCCTTCTGTCCTACCAGAGCACCCCCACCCCCTGAGCGTCCTCACAATGACCTTGCTGGGCGTGTTGTCGAGTGCAGGTCCCCTCTGCCATCTGTTGGTGCCCATGAAACTGGGACAGAGTCAGGGAGCCCATCACATGGACACTGAGGTACAGAAAGGTCAGGAACTGACTAGCACCCACAGCTCATGCGGCACCAAGATCAACCTCTGCTCCTCTTTGTCATGCGACATACATCCACCTTTCTAATCATTAAAGGCGTGAGCACGCTGGCTCTCTGCATTCAGCAGGTGGTTGAACCCGCCTCTCGGTGGGCTCCCAGGAAGACAGCACCCACGGCTCTTCTCTCGCTGGGTCCTTCTGGCTTCTCTCTTAGGTCCGGACTCTTTCCTTCTCTCCATCTGCCCCTGTCTGTCAGCACCATCACCATCCCTGTCTCAGAGGCCTGGGAGACCGCGGCTGCTGTGCTGAATCCGTTCTACCCCTGTACCAGTGCACTGAACGGTTACTCGGATGAGCAGTTCCATCACCGTCCTCACGTCCCTCCTTCTCCACCAGATCAGCCCCTGCCAGTACCCACACCCCCTCTTCCGTGGCTTTCCGAGCTTGTTCAGTCTCTAGTTTAATGGATCCATCATCATTTGCCCAGAATGTAGACCCTCAAATTGGCTCTGAGAACACAGGTGAACCCAAACAAAGGAACGTACTGCAAAACATGTGGTGTCTGACATGGTTATGGAAGCTGAGGACGCACTTGGTCCAAAGAAGGACCAACGAGTGCCGCTGCCTCCTGTGTCCTCTCCACCAAAGTCCTGCCTCCGGCTCATCGCAAAGACTCGTGGGCATCTCCGCGGTGATTTCTCCTCGAGGTCTCGCCTTCCTGGCCTTCTGGTCCCACACTCCACTGGCATGCCGGGCGGGACCTGCCCTGCCAGGGCCAGAGGCCCCAAGTGGCCTGCAGATCCTCCAGCTTCTCTCCTCCTTCCCAGAGGCCCTCCGACCCCCACATTCGCTTTCATTCCAGCATCACTAGTGGCTTCTCGGCCGTTGCCTTTTTCTTTTCTCCTCCTTGGATTTGGCTCCCAGTTGAGAGGGTTCCCGGCCAGCTGCTGGCCCCGCTGACGGTTCCTACTCACACCTCTTCAGATGGACTGTCTGGGCTGCGGGGCTGTGGTCAGTTCATCTTCGTTAGCATCTAAGCTTGTCCTCCAGGGTCTGCCGGCATTTCCTGCCCTTGCTCCATCCAGAATGGAAGTGCTAGAACCAATAGAAGTGCCAGAACCTGTCGGCAACACCACCCCCATCCCTTGCTACACCCTGATGCTCAGGACAATGTCTGACAGACAACTGAGTCTTAGACCTTTCATGTACAAGAGAGCTAACAAATGACCCAATCAATGCAATCAAGTAGCATTGTTATTTTCATTTATTTTTTGAAAAATTAAATTGATTGGCCAAAACCAGTTTGGCTCAGTGGATAGAGCGTCAGCCTGCAGACAGAAGGGTCCTGGGTTTGATTTTGGTCAAGGGCATGTACCTTGGTTGCAGGCACATCCCCGGTGGGGGGTGTGCAGGAGGCGGCTGATCAATTACTCTCTCTCATCGAAGTTTCTACCTCTCTATCCCTCTCCCTTCATTTCTGTAAAAAATTAATAAAATACTTAAAAAAAATTAAATGGATTGGAGTGGCATTGGTTCATAGGACCAGGGAGCTGCCAAGTGTATGCTTCCATGCTACAAGCAGCATCTTAAATTCTCCTTCCGACCTTTTTTTTATTGGGAAATGATGTTAGTTACCAAATGTCTGGACATGTTGTAGAACTTAGCACATCCTCTTCACCCAGTTACACCCATGATCATCTCTCCTATAACCAACCACAACAATCAGAACTAAGGAATCAGCTTCTTAAGGATCCTCACGCTCTACTGGGATTTCACATTTCTGTCACTGGTGGCCTTTATTTTATTTTTTCTCTAAGGTCTAATAAAGGTCCCATGGCATTGGGTTGTCCAATTTTTTTGTCTTCCTCAGTAGGGGGCGGATTTTCAAGTGCGTCTCCAGCTTCCACAGCCATGTCAGACACCACCTGTTTTGCAGATCGTTCCTCCTTTGGGTTTTCATGAGTTCTCAGAGCCAGGTTGAGGATCCACATTCTGCAAGGATGGCGGAGAGATGTGGCTGCTTCGGTTGGTCATGGCAGGAGGTACTCGATCTCAGGGAGGCTTTGGCAGTTTTTGGGGGAGACTCTTAAGCTGGAAGTGCTAATAGAATAAATCCTTCTATTTCTGTGTAATCGTGGGCCCCGGGTTTAAACGTCAGAGGCTCTGTCATGGCCTTTGATGGTTTCAACATGATGGTCACGCACGTGTGAAGTACGGACCGAAGTGGGTCCCTTTGCTGCTCAGAAAAACAGTGCACACTGGACATACAAGCCTTTGGGCCTGGGCCCGCCTCGCCTTCACTGCGTCTTCCATCATGTCTTCTCCACCTCTCGGGCCTCATGCTCCTCCCGGGAGCACCCTGTCCTCATGGCTGCGGACACGCAGAGAGGACAGAGGATGTTATTAAAGGAACAAACGATGTTTCAGAGATGGAACCAGCGTGGGTTACAGGCCCTCTTGGCAGCTAGTGACAGAGTTTAGATGTCACATTGGAATAAACATGTTCCTCTAGATATTTGTCTGTAGTCTTCATTTGTGTTATGTCTTTACCTGGTGTTGGCATTAAGGTAATGTGACCTCGTTGAATGAGTTGGTAATTTTTCTCTTGGATTTTATTTCTAGAAGTGATTGTAGAGAATTGGTAATCATTCTTTAAAACATTTGTTGAATTTTTCTGTAAGACTTTTTGTTTTGAAGGGTTATCTTTGCTTCAATGCATTTAGAAGTTACAAGCCTATTAGGAGTGTTTCTTCAGTGAGTTCTACAGGCTACATGATATTTCATAGCAACCCACTGTGTATGCCATTGATCATTATGAACACCTTTTATAATTCTGTTAATTTATTCTTTTTATTTTGTTATTTCAGTGTGTCCTCGATTCTTACACCGCGCTTTGCCTCCCCTTCCAGAATATGCCCTCCGTGAGGACAAAGCTCACTGGTGAATTCTGAATGAGAACCCACCCAGAAAGCACAGGAGACCCACACACCATGTTCATGGACACAAAGGCTCAATAGTGTGAAGAACTCATCCCCCACAACTGATGAATGGATTCGGTTCCATCCCAATTAAACTCTGAATGTGTATCTTTGTCGATGTTGACCAGCTGATTCTGAAGTTTAGATGGACAACAAAGAAATGAGAAGAGCCACAATCAATGTGAAGAGGAGCAAGGTGGGAACATGCATTTGACCCCACACCAAGAACTCCTGCGACCCACAGTGAACAGGCCGTGTGTGCTGGTGAGAGAACGACACATGCCCTCGATGACGCAATAAAGGAACCCAAGGTCTGGCTGACACAGTGAAGACCATGGGGATAGTGAAGGCCATGGGGAGAGGGAAGATTCTGACACAAACACAGTTACTTTCAGGAACGCATCCCATTTGTTTATTGAACAAGTGCAATTTCTCCCAACTCTTGCATATTTGTGTTCCTGGACAACATAACTTCATAGGAGAAGAAAGCCGAGCCTGGCCATTTTGAGCACAATCAGAATCAAATCTTCCATCCTCAGGTCACACAATGGGCCCATTCACACTTCCTCAATAACAAACAGGAATCGGATGTAAAAGCAGGAGGCATCCAGTCCTTACTGGAGTGTAGAGATGAGGAACGGGCATCCCTCAGAGGAAAGCGTTAATTATCCATATTTTGTTAGAGGCGCAGGGTGTTGTAGGGTATGTTCTAGCAGCAAGAGTAGCATCGTCGGTAGCAGCAGCCAGAGCCGTAGCCAGAGCCATAACCACAGCCATAGCCACAGCCATAGCCAGAGCCATAGCCAGAACCATAACCACAGCCATATCTGGATCCATATCCACACCCACAGCCATAGCCAGAGCCATAGCCAGAGCCATATCCACAGCCATATCCACAACCGTATCTGGATCCATATCCACAGCCATAGCCAGAGCCATATCCACAGCCATAGCCACAGCCGTAGCCAGAGCCGTAGCCACAGCCCCCGTAGGAGCTGCCGTAGCAGTTGCAGCACATGCTGGCAGAGGGTGAGGGTTCGGTGGAGGCGAAGAGGGACGTTGCTGGATGTGAGTGTGGCCTCCCACCCGGGGAGCTTTATATTCGCCAGGAAAGGCCCGGAATGTCATCACGTGTGTGACTCACCAGGAAATGCTCACTGATCCCGGCTTGTGCAGGTCACTCCTGTCAGTGATCATGAGAGGACTCGGTGATAAGTGGCCCATTAGTGCAGAGTCTCTCACTTTTACTGGGACCCGTGTTTGTTTTGTGTCGCCTGGGCCTTGTCTTGCGCCAATGACACGTCAATGAGAACATGCCCATCGATGATCTACTCACCAGAACCCATCCAGAAGGTTTCAAAGCTTCGTCCAGGAGGCCAGGTTCTGGGATGGAGGGCATGTCTGTCTGGAACGAGCCCATTAAGTGAGCTCCACTCACCGCTTGAGCAGCGAAGGAATTGCTACTGAGTTCATAGTCCCATGGTCGGAAAAGTGCGACCAAAGAGCCACATGCGACTCTTAGGCCCTTGAGTGTGGCTCTTCCACAAAACAGCATGGCCTAGGCGAGTCTATGTTGAAGAAGTTGTGCTAGAAGAAGTTTAAGTTTAAAAAATGTGGCTCTCCATAGAAATGTCAATAGTTGTGCTGTTGATATTTGGCTCCGTGGATGGATGAGTTTGCCGATCACTGGTGCAGTCTATCTCGTAGGTCTGCAGAGCTGGGTGGCACTGACCCTGAGCATATCCTGGCTGAGGCTCCTCTCATCCAGCCTCATGGAGATGCTGGGTCATGGCCTGTGTCACCCAGGGGCCCAGTCCCAGGACATCTGTGTCTGCTCTGGGGGGCCCTTCAGTCCTACCCAAAGCGCACCTCGCCCCTGAGCGTCCTCACAATTACCCTGTTGGGCGTGTTGTCGAGTGCAGGTCCCCTCTGCCATCTGTTGGTGCCCATGAAACTGGAACAGAGTCAGTGAGCCCATCACATGGACACTGAGGTACAGAAAGGTCAGGAACTGACTAACACCCACAGCTCATGCGGCACCAAGATCAATCTCTGCTCCTCTTTGTCATGCAACATACATCCTCCTTTCTAATCATTAAAGACATGAGCACGCTGGCTCTCTGCATTCAGCAGGTGGTTGAACCCGCCTCTTGTTGGGCTCCCAGGAAGACAGCACCCACGGCTCTTCTCTCACTGGGTCCTTCTGGCTTCTCTCTTAGGTCCCAGACTCTTTCCTTCTTTCCATTTGCCCTGTCTGTCAGCACTGTCACCATCCCTGTGTCAGAGGCCTGGGAACCCCGGCTCCCACGCTGAATCCATTCTACCTCTGTACCAGTGCACTGAACAGTAACTCGTCCCTCCTCCTTCCACCACCTCCGCTCAGATCAGCCCCAACAGCCCCTGCCAGTACCCACACCCCCTCCTCCATGGCTTTCCGAGTTTGTTCAGTCTCTAGTTTAATGGATCCATCATCATTTGCCCAGAATATAGACCCTCAAATTGGCTCTGAAAACACAGGCAAACCCAAACAAAGGAATGTACTGCAAAGCATGTGGTGTCTGACATGGTTATGGAAGCTGAGGACGCACTTGGTCCAAAGAAGGACCAATGAGTGCCGCTGCCTCCTGTGTCCTCTCCACCAAAGTCCTGCCTCCGGCTCATCGCAAAGACTCGTGGGCATCTCCGCGGTGATTTCTCCTCGAGGTCTCGCCTTCCTGGCCTTCTGGCCCCACACTCCACTGGCATTCCAGGCAGTACCTGCCCTGCCAGGGCCAGAGGCTCCAAGTGGCCTGCAGATCCTCCAGCTTCTCTCCTCCTTCCCAGAGGCCCTCCGACCCCCACATTCCCTTTCATTCCAGCATCACTAATAGCTTCTCGGCCGTTGCCTTTTTCTTTTTTCCTCCTAGGATTTGGCTCCCAGTTGAGAGGGTGCCCAGCCAGCTGCTGGCCCTTCTGACGGTTCCTGCTCACACCTCTTCAGATGGACTGTCTGGGCTGCGGGGCTGTGGTCAGTTCATCTTCGTTAGCATCTAAGCTTGTCCTCCAGGGTCTGCCTGCATGTCCTGCCCTTGCTCCATCCAGAATGGAAGTGCCAGAACCATGGAAGTGCCAGAACCAATGGAAGTGCCAGAACCTGTCGGCAACACCACCCCCATCCCTTGCTACACCCTGATGCTCAGGACAATGTCTGACAGACAACTGAGTCTTAGACCTTTCATGTACAAGAGAAATAACAAATGA